GCTTGCTGCTGCGCTCGCTGCTGCTGCTGTCTGCTGCCGCTAGTTATACCTGCTCTGCTGCTGCCGCGTAGGTAAGCCTCTCTGCTGCGCGATTTACGTAGACGTGTGATTATTACTGGTCCGATTTGCAATTAAATCTGACGTCGCTGTAGCCGTGTGTGTGTGTGTGTGTGTGTTTGTGTGTGTGTGTGGTGTGTGTGTGCGTGTGTGTGCGTGTGTGCGGTGTGTGTGTGTGGCTGTTGTGTGTGGTGCGTGCGTGCGTGCCGTGCGTGCGCGGCGCGTGTGTGTGTTTGTGTAGCGTGTTCAGTGGTGTGTGTGTGTGTGTGTGTCGTGCGTGCGGCGCGTGCGTGGCGTGCGTGCGTTGCGTGCGTGCGTGCTGCGTGCATCGTGTATAACGGAACTATTAGTTGCATCAATGGCGGAACTCTGGAACTCTCTGATGTTCCGCTGTTATGGGTGTAAAACCAGACCGGGCTGTGTCAGTCGTGCCGTTTGAAATACGGATCCAGTGTGTACGCAACTGAAGAACAGTGGCAAGTGCAATATTTAGCGTTAGTGCTACATTCTGAGATAGTGCAGCGTAAAGTGACCTCAGCGGAATAAAGTGAACACCATGCATGTCTCCCAAGCGCTTTCAGTTCTTCCAGAAAGCAACAGATAAAAAGAGAGTCTGCTGCCCGATAACAGGAAACTCCAGATCAACGCACACAGTGCCTTAAAAGAGACTGCTCTCAGCGCTTAATCTAAATCCCAATACTTCCCTCTATGGCCAGTTTTAAGTTGGTGCTTAGCGGTTGGATCCCCAACCAAACCTCTTCATCTCTTGTCAATAAATGGAAGACCGCTTGTGTGTGTATATTCTAGAAGCTTTGACAACGAATGCTTAAACTGTTTTTGTCCGAATATTGTTATCTCTCATATTTTGTTTCTCTTGTCTACAATTCTATCCTTAAGAATAAGCTAAATATATGTGCCAGAATTTCGCTCTAAGACAAGTTTGTTAGTAATTCTTTGTGCTTCGCTAGCAACGCCTATAGTAACACTGAGTATATACATACGCTAGTCTTTTTACATTATTCCAGAACCTATATACTCTGAATTCGTATGGTCTTCAAAAGTCATCAACCAATATGAATACCACCCTGTGGTGTCAGCAGACTAACGCTTATAGCGATGTTAAAATATCAATCGATTTGTTTTCATGAAGATGTAGAGGTGGATTTTCGCCATGCTCGACAGTCCGGGGCACGAGAATGCATACAGTTACTACAGTCTGAAGCTTCTCTATGAGCGTGAGGAATTCTGATCTCGTCATTATTTACGCGTAAAGGGAAGCTGCCAGCGTGTGCCGATACACCTACACGTCGAATCCCATAATCATGAATCACTTGGCTTCTCAGCTGGCCGTCGCCTAGCTTACCCACACAGTCTGATCGCGCATCTTCTCCGCGCCGGGATACGAGCAGGCTGATGGACAAGTATGACTTGTGTAGGAGCTTTAATTTCTCCTGCGTCATCAGCATACATAGTTAGCCACATCGCTGTCATAGTCTCAGCA